TGATATATTAAAACAAACAACAATAGATAACTTGTTGAAATATCTAGATGGCAGGAACAGGTAGCCCAGATGCTCAAGCAGGCCGCCCTTATTAAGTATTAAGTATTACTCATACATCGTAGACCAACTTATAAACTTGCTTTTAGACTGCGTCTTTGTATATTTTTCACTCACAAATACAATCGTTTAAATTAAGTAAATAGTATCCGTTGTTAGTATTATTATTATTATTATTATTATTATTATTATTATTATTATTATTATTATCGTTATTATTATTAGTTACTGTTACTGCTACTATTACTATGCACTAAACTGTTCAGGTCACAGATGTGAGACTTAAAAACCTACTTCATACCTACTACCTACTCATTTTTGTCTTGTCTTCACCTCTCGTAGTTAGTTCCTTATCTCTGTTTTTATTAGTAAATCTCCCTCTCTGTTTGTTTAGATTATTGTTATCAATACTCTTGCTGTTTCAAATTAACAAAAACCTCTTTAACAGCGGATTACTACCATTATCATTTGTATTAGACATCTTTAAACAAATTATGGCGAAATAATGCAGGCTTAGCTAAGCAATATTTCTTTGCAATCGCCTTTAACCATCTGGATGTACACTAACGGTGTTGTAGTTCTCAAGAAAACGGAGTGTAATATTATACAATACTAGTTGTGATAAGTTTGTCAACAAGAATTATATTAAATTAATTTTAGCGGTTTTTATAAAGCTTATTTAAATCAAAGTTAGCTTTCAACACATTATTATTAGAAATCATCAAGTAATATTATATAGCTGTTTCATTTTTATGGAGTTGCTCAGTGTGGTTCCCATTCACGACAGCACATGGGATAGAACCCAAGACCATCCGACATTATGACAAACAGTGTACTATTTAACTACTACTGATTAGTTGTCTCATATCGAACATCTTCGATGAAGTTGTTAACTAACAGTTAAAATTTTAATAAAGAATTGAAAATTTCGTAGTATACTACCAGAGTATATACTTAATAGTGATTGGTAAAAGAAAATGAAAGATTTGGTCAAGTAGTTAACTTGTTAAACTGTTTTCAAAAGAATATGAAGAAGTAAAACATTTTAAACGAGTGTATTGGAGAAAATGAATATGTTAAGCAATATTTCGAAAGTTTCTTTTTATTAAGCCTGCGGGATCAGGGTAGAAAATGAGGCTGTGTAGACTTCTTCTGATCACATAGGTTAACTATGTTCAAGTGAATCCCTTATAATTTACACTGTACTCTGAAGGCGAAGTCTTGAGGAGTACAGTATATTGGATTAGTTTCACAAATAGCTTCAAATGCCACTTTGAGATCAGCTTGATGTCGACTATCAACAAGATGTCAGTGGATAGAACTTTTTATAATCCGTTCTTTACCTCTTGTTCAACTATAAAGAATAATGTGATAACGTGATAAACACTAACCTAGTTTTATGTAGGATCTGACTAATTCCTTAGAATATTCTTAAGTCTTCAGACTTATAACTTCCACTCAGTGGGTCAGTCATATGCAACGTAGAACCTAACGTACATATGCATCGGCCCAAGTTGCTACACCACATTAACACTGCGAAACAAGGTTATCAAGAAAAATCCCTGAGTAGTAGAAGAACTATTACTTTTGTAGTTTTTAGTTAGCTTCTAATTTCTAACGTTCATTTTTGTAACGAGAATAAGCGCTTATAAACTGTTGGTATTCATCATACTGAATAATACGTATTATTGTCACGTGACTAATCAGTTCACATACACTGTTGAGTACAAGGGCGATTTTTTAGAAGTCAACCAACCACTGGAAACTACGTATATGTATTTTTCTGACTCAACAGTAAACAACAGTGGTATAAAAGTAATTGTGTTCAGTTATCTACTGTTGTATTCCACTTCCAAGCCAGTCATAAGAAACGTGATCTAACTGTGAGCAGAATAGAGTTTTGGCGTCTCAATTTACAAGAGTTGTATGTGAAAGCAATAAGAAGACTGAAGTCCTCCCAGATAAAAAGAATTGTATTCTAAAACTCAATACGACTGTTTCAGTTTTTCATGAAACTTTCAATGTAAATACTTTAAAATTGATCAAATTGCTGTTATACACTCAAGGGAAAATCTCGGGCGCGCTTGCTGACGCCTACATAAGTAACGAAACAAGAAATGAATTATGCTAAAAAGTATTTGCCAACATCACGTAAAAACTACCAACAGAAATCAATATTTGTTTTTTCTAAAATATGATTGGTTACTTTACTATCAGTTTTTTTATAAGTGTGCACTTTCACTGTATGTTGATTGGTTGACATACAAATTGCAGAAAAATTTACTGCATACCAGTGTTGTGAAGCATATTTCACCGAGTTATGCTTGTCACGTAGGCGGGAAATTTAACTTAAATCCAGCTATTGATCCAAAAAAGAATAATTTGAAAGATGCAAAAACTTCGTCGTTTTTATTTCCTAATTGGAAATAACAAATAAAATGGAAAAGTTTCTCTTCTAAATTGTTTTCTCAAACAGTATGATTAGTCATTATTCCATTAACCTTTTTTTCACCGATTAATTTCAATTTCATTTGAATTAGATAAACAATGTTTACTGCCTCTTACTGTGTAGATGCATGCTATATGCCAAAAAATTTGGCATCGAAGCTCTTTGGGATGAATAATTCTCATCTCTATTGACTAAGGTTTCACTCAATCTAGGTTAATAGTTAAAACGATATCAATAAAGTAAACACTTATGTGATCTCATAACTCGCATAGTTTATTAAGTCGTTTACTATACGTTGTTAAGTATACATTTTCGAGATAGTTGAAGGCAAATTGTTTGCTCAACCATTGAACTACCAATTTCATCAACTAACTATTGTGTTTATCTCCTTAGTCACTTCAGTGTTTGTTCGCTTGTGTATAGGTGTGTTGAGAAAAGGTTGGGTGAACAAATACATAGTTCTATTACATGAAGTCATCAGCTGTTTGCTTAAACAATGTTGACAAGTGTGGACTTAGTAGTTTGAGCCTACGCTGTAATCATAATCTATGATCCAAAAGATTGAGTAACATGACCTACAATGAATTTCAATAAAGCTGTTCTAAGGTTATTCCTCTAAATTTTGGTCTTATTGCCATAGCATACATCTCAGGCTGTTAGTGAAAGCTTTTCGTGTTTTATATCATTATAACACTGACTATTCTGTCACGTGACTATAGTAAGGATGTTATTCAGAAATTAGAAATCATAATTTTTGAAAAAAGGACAATATGTATTTACTGGGATGCACATGATAGCTTATTAAATTACATGTCAAATTCTGATACCAGAAATTGGGTAAAATGAATAAAATCTCTAAAATCCCCGCAAGGAGGACGTCATTAGTATAATATTGAAATCATTGCTATTGGCACTCATTTCTCGTCCTATCTCGAAACTTTGTTATTTTTCAGTCACAGATCACTGTCGCTCACACACTTGGGATATTTATACGTGTTAGATAATTTAGTTTTCATTACACTGAATAATTATGTTTTTTCCTTCTAATAAGTCAAAAGTAAGGTTGGTTTCTTAATAAAGATACTGTTTTTGGACGTAGGTGTAGATACCATGTATATAATCATTTCAGTACATTTCAGCATCCAGAACCTAGGTAATAAATCACGTGATTATTATTACATGATCTAAATTTTGGACTAACAGTAAATAAGATTGAAATAATTTTGACTAAATATTTGAAGGCTATTTCAAAATAATTGTTTGTAAAGTAACCAGAATTGGTAATACAAGTCAAAATACTATAACAACAATGCCATTCATTGGGATAGTTACGATAAAACACACTAGATGATATGTATGAAGTTATAAAGTATTTTTCACTATCAAACCGATAGGTCCCAAGGTACTAACTGTAACTGTTTTCCCTTGACGACCGAAAAATATTAATAACTAAGTATTTTCTTTTTCAATGTTTGTTTGAATATGATATCCTAGTAAATTATTGTGTTAGTGGATTCACTGGATAAATGACACACATGATCACCAAAGTGTTGTTACCTGTAAACAGTATTTTAATAGCCTATTAACCAGTGTGCACGCAAACAACATGGGAGCTTTCTCAAGTTATTTAGAAAATATTTACCACTTTATACAATGATCTGAATCTAGAACCATTAAAATGATCTTTTTGATGCGGAACATACTTTGATTTTACAATTGATAAAAAACAACTAAAACGTTTGAAAATAATTTGATGCTAAATTACTGTACTCATCTAAGTTTTCTTACATTTCAACCATGTATTTTCAATTTATCTGTATTCTCAAGGTTTAGTAACTAGCAAAAAGTTGGTAGTTCATTTTGAGGTCCGCATAAGTTTTTCATTTGAACATAGTTACTTGAATCGATTAATTAGCTTCATGTTCATAAACGGATGAGTTCGAATATAACAATTACAAGATTGTTTCGCAGTAAGATTGGCTAGTAAACCAATTTTGACTAATCTATAAGCCTTGATGGATATTTTGCTTACCATCTTCCGCAATATGAAATATTAATTCGAGATTACTTATTGGTTCAGCACCGAATATAGTTATCTTTTATATTGATAGTATAATCAGATAGTGGCTAGCAGTAAAACTCAGGACGCATGGATCGTCTTATTTGAGATTCTTCAGCTAGATGTACTTGCATCTCACTGTTGATATTCACACTGCAACTTTAACCCACTACTTTTGACTTCAAATGCCCAGCATGTTATTCACTGAGTTACTGAGTTCAAATATCTACTTGCGTGTACAATGGATAAATTTCTTTTTATATCTTGTTGTTTGTGTTACGGTTTGTACTCCTTTCAGTTAGTGTTTATGGCTATTTAGAAAAATATTTCATAGTAAGTTATTACAAAAAGATTATCATTTATCCTTAAATATTGTTAAATCAAATCATATTTTTCGCTTGGATAATCTTTTTTCATTTTTACTTCACAATATAGGGTGACGATGGTGTCGTTGGCTGTTATTATCAATCATCAACAAATACTGTGAATATTCGAGCTGGATATAATGATATAGCTGGTAAAACTACGAATTTTTATAATGGACCAGATGAAGTAAGTAAAGTGCAATTCGTCATAAAATTCACAAACACACACGATTGATTAAATATCTAAACATGCCTTGACACTAAGAAAAAAATATAGGAAAAGTTAATCTTTCTTAATCATTTATTTCTTGTCGACAGTGTAAAACCATATTGTTCAATGTAATTACTAATAATTACTTAAAAGTTGTTAATAACAGAAAAATATCTGCTAACATTAAACGCAATTAACGAAATTGTAATGAATTACCTGTAATTGAGATTGAAAAATCTATAACTTATCCATGTTCAAAAGTTAACTCCATAACAAAACAAATGGAAATGTACACGTAAACAGAAATTACAATAAGTAGAAGTAAGAAAGAAGGCAGTATGTAACAATATTTCAATAGAATTTTTATTTAAATTCCGCTGTAACTCAAGTTTAATCCTGCTATTCCTTTGAAATGAGTGAATTTTCGATTATATTATTGGCTTATGAAAACATTAATAGATGACTTACATAAATGAATGCAAAGTATTAAACCGAAAATTGTTTATTATATCTTCTAGTTGGAGGTTTAAATCTTCCCTGACCCACTTCGTCGTCACCAGTTAATACGATTAGCTTTCACATATGAAATGTTTCAAACATTGATACATAAAACCTCTTAATAAATAACTTCTCAATTTATACAATTTTTTTCTGGAAATGACCAAATAATTCCTAATGTCAAATTTCGTTGTTGCTTATAATCAAGAAAAAAAACTCTTGATATATACCTTTAAATTTTTCTTATTGTTTTCTGGAAACATTTGGCTAAGATTCATAATTTTATTTATACTTCTGCGGTAATATATTTATATACTTACCAACTAATAGAGAGAATAAAAAAATTGTTTTACTTATTTTATTACATAACCACTTTTTATTCTTTGTTCTATAAACATTTTGCTTATTTGTTTATTATAAAAAAATAATTTCACGATCGGTACTATACTTAGTTGCCTCTTGATTATGTAACAGAACTACATCGTTCCTCTCTCCTACTAAAGCAAAGATTTGTTTTGATATAATCTAAACCGATTTACGTGGTAAGCTGTGTACTTATACGCACACGTATACGCCTATACTTTTATTCAATTGCGTAGGTTATTTATATAGAAGTACTACCAGATAACACATTTTGTCAGTCCACAATTATATATATATATATATATATATATATATATATATATATATATATATATATATATATATATATATATATATATATATATATATATATATATATATATATAATTATTTTCGGAATTTAATTTATTTAGTGTTTCTTGTCTTTGGCAGTCAGTTAGTCAGTCATCAGCAACGTAGAACCTGGTACATATGTGTATCAGTTCAAGTTGCCACACCGTATTAGCACAGCGACATGACTTTGTTACAAAGTATTGTACTCTATTGATGTCGATAAATGTTTATGTACGTATGTATATAACCACACATACATAATAAACTAACCAATTTTGTTTTGAAGAATACCTTGACCTACGTCTCTATCAATTCAAAGTAAAAAGAAATTTGGAAATGTTTCTACTTTTTCTGTTTTTCTTTATCGATTCACGTTAGATATAAAGTTGCAAATACAAAAAATTATGAATAAAATGGGTTGAACATCAAATACACAACTGCACTCTGGGGGTAGGGGTGGGGTGGGGATAATTTTGTTTGTGAATAATTTCACTAGAGATACATGAATAGAGCATAGGGCATCAAAGACCCCCATGATATAAATGATATTAGTAGCTTGTACTATATCTTAAGATTTTGAAACGGTTTTTGTCGAAAAAACAAAACAAACTTAGTTCTAAATTTACGGTACTTTTGCTCCTTTTGTACTAGAAGTTTTCATCGTGTTATCAAAATTCTGAGGTGGATTTCAGGTGTACTATTTTGCAGCCAACCAAATAAATTATAGGATATTGAATCCTGGAATCAGTTAGTGAATGATATCTTGACTTGCTATAAGACTAAACACTAGAGATACCTGGGGTCAACCTGTTATGTGAGTTTACTAGTAGTCTGATCAGCCAATATATGTTCACTGAATGAGAAAACTAATAACTCATTTCTCAGGAATTGTAGCACTGGTTAAATATCAGACTTATTGATTTTCTTTAACAACGAACGAACAGTAGTCAAATTGCTACGTACAAGCTGCAACGAATGGGTTTCAATCAGTATTGACTTTTTAAGTTATTGAATCACATAGCCTAATCATATTAGCCTAAAATAAAATTAATTAGGAGCTGCTGAAGATATATTCATAGAAATAATTTAAATCATAAGGAAAACTATCATCCTCATACATTTTCAATGTCCCTGTAGTGTTATTTTTTCACGTGTCGATTTCTATTGTAAACTTTCTTTTTGTCCCTTGATATTTTTGTCCACAAGATGGCTAAAATACACTTTCTCTGTAATTTTTTTTACAGATACATGTATTTTTTATTTCTTTGATGTTACCAAATGAATAGGCATAGCCTACAAATTACTTATTCTTTGCTGTCATGACTTATATGTGGACGTTATTGTCCAGTATTTAGCGAAAAAACAATTGTACATAGGTGAACTCATCCTCCTCTCATTATACTGCCTGTTTTTGGAGCAGAGATGATGTTATTGTAGCCAGTCAATTAGTCGTAAACTTGAAACAGTGTTTGTACATAAATATGTAAATGACTGATGTCATATGTGACTTGTATAGCATGATGTTTTAGCGAGTGTTATATCGCAATAAAGACTGGTATGGCTTGATGCAAGGAAGAAGATGTGAACTTATTGAACATCAAAAATGAGTCCAGAACTTAATCTAAATAAACCGAGTTTTTACAAGTTTTACTTAAACTTATGAATAGTCAAATTTAAATAAATTGAACTGGATGGTTAAAATAACCCACTGTGTCATTGAATAAGAAAAAGAGAATCCAACGAAAAAGATTTTCTTCGCTGAATTCTTTTTTTTATTCAATGAATTTGATGTTAATTAATCAGTAACTTAATTTATGTATACAATCTACGATATTATAAGGTTAAGTTGGTGCATAACAAACAAATGTTACTAATCCTAATATGGTCCCTTTTTTAGCTGGACAAATGCGAGTTGGTTTTTCTGTAGGTGTCCTTGTGGTGTGTGCTGTTGATATTGACAGATATAAATGGTATATATCACCAATCAAAAGTGAAATGCCTGGATACAGAAGGTTAAGAAAATCGAAGATAAGAGAACGAGAACAGAGAGTGATTGGTGTGCAAATTAAGGAAGAGTCAAGTCTTTAATAATTGATTGACATTTTGCAAATAAAGTGTTTACTGTATGGTTTTCAGATTTTACTGTGATTCTGTAATTTCGTGTTTAAATACATTTGGTTGTCCCCGCACTCGTTCACTACACCCTGATTTTTCCTCATTTGCTTCGCATAACTGCAAAATATTTCACACAAAAATGCATGTAAATGACTAAAACCACATGTAAATTGTGTGTTATAAAGTTGTCGGAAGAAAGGTATGTGTTCATAACCAGGTCTTAGAGATGATAATAACAACGACAATCGCTTAGTTGAATATTAAAAACCAATGATTGTGTTTTATCATTTCTGAATGCAAGACTACATTCCCAAGTTTAGAAAATCTGTAGCTGGATTTCGTTTATTGCAGTGAATATATATCTTAATGAAGGGTCAAAACAATCTTTTCCAGATGTAATTATAAATATATTCAATGCAGTTACTAAAGTTGATTGCCTCATTGATAAACATTCAAGTAATGTTTCTTGTGTATGCATCTCATGGGACACACTACGCCTGTAATAATGACATTGCACTGTTTGTATGATATTTACCCTTTTTTCCAGGATCCTATTGATGATATGGATTTGTATCTTCCCAGTATGTATAAATATTGAACAAGGTTGAGAATTTAAGTAATCTCTGAGTGACTTATTAATGCATAGTTAAATTGGCTGATGTATATCTGGATACTTTATGTCTCGAAGTTAATCTTCATTATCGATTCAAGTAAAGCTTAAAAGGAGTAAACTTCAGATTCGTCAAACTAATGTATCCCATTTATTCCAAAGGTCTTATGTTTGACACCTGCAGTAAAGTGTTCGAAACATCCTAATTATGGTTCTCAAGACGACTAAAATGAACGGTTAGAGAGGGAGTGATTTTTTTTCCAAGGATTTAATCTAAAATCACTCATAGTTTATTAATAACACAATGGCTTGCTATTCTATATTTAAGCTTGTTTTCTTTATGCTTCTTTTATAAACTCTACTCTGCTCTTAGAATTCACTTTCCACTCTCTTATTTAGGTTTAGTTTTATTGCATTCCGTTAATTCTGTTATTTATGCAGTATGAGGCGATTTCACAATGTTTGAAAGTTTACATCTACCTTGTTTTTATCTATTTAAACATGAATTATTCTTCTGATTATAATCCTCTCATTTGTAGTTTCCTGATTGAATTGGCTGTTAAAGGAGTTTGTAACTCTTGAGGGGTAATGGTTTCCTAGGTTTTTGGAAATATATGCTGTCTAGAGTTCTTTGGATACACTATTTCATTCGACTGGTTTTAAATCAGAACACAAATTGAAAGTAAACAAAAATGCATCCCAAAAATTCGAACAAGAAAGGGTAATGTAGTAAAATGTCAACATACATATATAACGTACACAGGAATACTCTAATATCTTCTCAGTTTATCCGCTAGCGTTGATTGGTTGAAGAATGAACCAAGTTGTGCGTTCTATTTCGATCTAGTCTCGAGCAAGTAATAATCAAGAATCTATCCTGCTAAGGAGTGGAGTTTTTCGAAAAAGATAAAGACGTAGTTTGCATGAATATTACCTAATCTGACTTTGATTTATTTATTAAACAACGTAGGTGACAAATTCTCATAAACTTGTTTTTTTTTGTTCAACATTTTTCAATTTATCAGATCTATTCGAGCTCATTTATTATTATTATTCATAGGAATTATTAATAACAGATGGTGAAAATTTAGGTGGTACATTTAATGCAATGGATGGTACATTACAATGTCGTTTCAGACGACGTGTTCGACCGCTGGATACGGTTCATCAATTAATGGATTTAACATCACCGAATGCATATCATTTGATTGTTACTCGTGGTGTTGAACGTAAAAAAGACGGATTCGGTCGTCCTTTTGCTGGTGGAGAATCGGTGTCTCAACGTCCGGTTGTCATTACTTCGTAAGTAATTGAATTATGTTTAATCTCCTTTTTAAATCTTCTCTGTAGGCTTGTTTTTCTCTATAAAAGTGAAATTTTTAAAATATATTGGTTTTCTTGTAAATTTATAGCAAAAGTTTTGGGATTATTTATTGTAAAGTGAATGAAAGAGGGTAATTGATTGACCGTTTGCAATCAAAATAGCTTAATAATAACTTTTCTGTCCGTTGTATACTGAATTACATATATTTTTCAACCGGTAAAGGAAAGAATAAAGTTACAGAAATCCCTGGTCGATCCAAGTGAAGACAAATATTTTTCTTTAATAAAAAAAATTGTTTCGTTTCGAAAGTGAAGGTAATAGACGATTTCACACTGATGAATTACGAAAAATACTATCTACAATTTATTCAGAAACGAATGATTCCTAGTTGTCGTGAGCAGGAGCAATGTTACTGCCATTTTGAAATTCCATATTATAAAAACAAAACTTTAACCAAGTGTGTTGTTATTGCCAAGTAAGTAGGATAAAGTGAATATTTGGTCAATTATTCCCATTACGTTAGGATATTTTTTAGGAAAGATAATTTGACAGATTTATTTCTTATGCATTTGAATATTGTTAGAATAAACGATATTTCTATTATTTTGACAAAAATTGTTTTGGACACTAATTTTAACAAATCCGTATTAATACAAAATAAATAATTAGTCGTTAATACCAATAAACACGTATCATCAAAGTTATATAGTCTATTTTGAGGAATAATTTCATAACGACCAATGACTTTATAGATAAATATCATGTCTTCATTTACTAACCGTTAACCTCCTTCCATTCTACTCATGTTCCATCTAATGGTACATATTTAACTGATTAGGTATGCGTATATTTAAATAAAGTTTAAATCCCTCCTCCTCTATAAACACTAAACATTCAACATATCAAGTCTGTACTCTTTAACTTTACCAATAGAGCACAATCAACACTGATTACCAACTGTTATCTATCTGTTTTCATTAAATTTCCTATAATTTTGTAATTATTAATTGAATGTTAGATCTATACATACAATTGTAATCAATTGTTTTACCTTTTTTCAGACCTATTTATGGAAGTATGACAGGTATAATTGGTCGTGGTTCCGCAATTGCTAAAACTCATGGATGTCTTATGGTATTAGCTTGGGTATTATGCGCTAGTATTGGTATTATACTAGCTCGTTATTACAAAGATGTATGGCCTAATTCTGGCCTATTAGGTGAACGTGTCTGGTTTCAATCTCATAGAATATTACAAGGCATATGTGTCGGTTTAACGTGCATTAGTATAATTTTGATTTTTATCTATTGTGAAGGCTATTCACAAGCAACAGCCTATCCATATTATATACATCCAATACTTGGTTTAATTGTCTTCTCTTTGGCTTTGATTAATGTAAGTTTTATATATGATTTGTAATAAATTTTTCATATTTCCTTAGCATCTATAAATAAATTTTCTATCTATCTATCTATCTATCTATCTATATATATATATATATATATATATATAACGTCATAAATAACTAAAAGTATTGAAATGATCTACTTGATAGTTTGTTGACATAACCTCAACTTGGACCTCCAAACAACACAGTTACCAGGATATAGAATCACTGTGTGATACTTTAATTTATAAACGAACCAATCACATCTAAGATAGCAAACCTTGAATTTTTGTGCGAAATTCATTCACCTATTTGGTTAAATACCATTTTGGTGTTATAGCTGATGTCAGTTCGTGATGAAAATATTAAATCTAATTTCTAAACCTAACATTCAACTGTAAATCCTAATTTCTCATACTAATATATCATTTTCATTTAACCTTGGTAATAGGTGGACATTCCAAGGCCATTTTAGCGTTGCTCAGAGGTCGTCCGTAAATTATAGTCTTACCGATCGCTGACCAACTAAATCAGAACTGTAATTTATGTGTAAAAAGATTTAATCAAGATTAGACGGCGGGATTAATTACCAGATAATGAATAATGATCAATCATGAATTACGAAGTAGTCCGTACTCCATCGCTTTCATCCTTCATAACTGTTGAGGACGTTAGGTCCCCAGAACTTATTTGGAAAAGGTCCTAATTTTGTAATTTTATTCTGAAAATTTGAATTTTATGTTTTCGGGCCAAGAGACGCTTAGTTGACCTACAGCTTACATTTCGCACTCGGAAATCCTTGACTGTCATTGGTTGACGGATTTTTTTAGTACGCTATTTTGTAGCTATCCCAAGAGCATTTCTACTATTGTATAAATAAGCTTGTTTTATGTGCTTAGTGACGTCATATTTTCTAGGTGCTTGTGGAAAACATTCTCTATGCCCCATCAAGACTTCTTGATCTAGTTAGCAGGGCCGTGGACAACGGATTACACTAGCCTATCGTGTCACTGTATCTTTGAACTTCGTTCCGTTTACCGAGTAAGGTGAACTCGTAATAGCATTCAAGTATATCAATATCATATCAAGTCATTATATCTGAAATTCTCTGTTTTATCCGTATTCAAACTACTAACCTTTGGGTTGAAAAATCTCATTGGTAAATAACTTAGAGTTTCATACTGATATTAAGTCATGATGTATAGAAGAATCAATACACTTAGTCATTAAATTAGTTACTTAATCGCTGCTCCTATTTGATAGACAGAAATCAAGTAGATGTGATAGGTAGAAGTCACAGAAAATAAGTATACTTAAATTATATTCGTTTTAGTTGTTTAATAAGACCTAAACAAGTACTCTCTGAAGTCCTGAATAGTCCAAGAAAATCAGCGAATTCATGACTCAAACAAATTGACTGATTTCTTTCTCAATTAACCAGCTCTTACTGATATTTGCATAATACGGAGTTTCATCAGGTAACCTTGTAGATGGCATAGTTTTCTGATCCTATTCTTGCGTTGTAATTCACCTATCGAGCACAAGTTTATGTACTTGTATTTGGGCCATATTTTATGTGTGTGTGTGTGTCTACTAATACTACCCAACTAACTGAATTGAAGTAAGTTAAGTGGGGTCCAAATTTAATGCTTCAAGTCGAGTATTTTCATCACTAACCTCCACTACTCGAATGTGATTCCTGTAAACTCAGTGTACGTTTTCGCTTCTGTACTCTTGTTTTTTACTATTTACTCGACACATATTGTACGTATGTTAACCCACATGTTAAGTCTCAGTTTGACTTTCTAATAAAACACCTGAATAAATATACCCATCCATTGGTTCGCTACTTTAAATCTATTTATGATTTAGAGAGTTTTTGCCTCAGAAACATCTCTCTTTTCTTTTATATTCAACATCGATTATATCAAAGGGGAATCTATTGACGTATTTAATTCCTTTTAAATTTGCTTCATACATTTCATTCTTTTAAGCCAATTATCGCATTATGCCGTTGTAATCCAGCCCATGAATATAGACCTTGGTTTAATTGGATACATTTTTTCATTGGGACATTTGCTTATGTACTATCTGTACCAACAATGATGTTAGGTTTACGTATGCCTGCTGCTGGCCTTCAACTACAATTTATTAATTATCCATTATGGATTTTAATATTTTTTGTAATCTTCCAATTTATTATTGAAATTACTCTGGAGATACATGGATGTTTCTATTATCGTCGAAATAAAAGTAAGACATATGTTTCAGATTATTATTGCTCATTATTTCCTGTTTGTTTCATTAGGTCTCACTTTTTGTTAGACGATCCAGTAACATATTAGTGACTTTTTAGAGTATATACCTGACGCTAGTTGCTCAAAGTTAAATCACCTTGTTTTACATTCAAGGACATCATTAATGTGTTCATGACTGTGAAATTTATATTGCTGGCCGACTTTAACAACCTAATATATAAATGAATATAGTGTACTCAGTATAGAGCCATTTAGACTGGTAATCACTGTGCAGCTTCCTAGATAGAATTCGATCAATTTTAATGAATAAGGATAAACACAAAAATGGTTGATTACTCAGTGACAAATCTGTTTACTAAAAATAAATAGTGGACATAATGATTAGCTTATATTTCAAACATTGAGTAAAAAATGTGGACGATCGGAAAATACAATGACGGATCTAACGTACTTTAACGAACCGGACAACTTATACACAATTACACTTCAACGATGATGACTTCATGCGAATTAAGAGAGGGGAAGTATGTGTTATATCCGAGCGAAGATTAAATCACGAGTAACTTCTGAAACATATTAATTGACTAATATTATCTGTACATTCTTAGGGTATAACTATTCAACAATTAGATTATGTATATTTATATTCCTCTTATTATAAGCTTCATTTCGACCTATAAATTATTATTATACGATTTACTGTCCCTAAATTAGGCTCAATTTATTAACTACTGCCTCCCACGTTCACGGCCACTTTTTGGCTTTATTGTGTACAAATGTTATTTCTTAGTTTATGGTGCGTTGTGGTCTGTTTGTTTGATATATAAACCCAGTATGTCTGAAATAAATGATTCGATTCGCATAGTGAAAGCTGGTATCGGTGTTCTGGACTCAAGTGGACAGGCTAGGTGAGCAAAGGACCAATAAGGACGCTAGGCTACCCATACCAGTCGGACGTCATTGGTTTGGCACAGTGCTAAGATTGTATAGGTCGTTTTTTGATTGATGTATAAATCACATGATAAAAAGCCGGACATAAAATCACAACAGTATGGGATTTTCAAGAGATCTTCCATGTGACTGTATGTATCATGCTATGTGGTTGCAGATAGTGGATAAGAAGAGATGGACCTAGGTTTCGTGGTGGTTGATACTCATTAATGAAGCATACCTACAATCTTGAGGGATCTAATGCTTCTCGTTGCAATCAAACGCTCAACACCAAGCTTCACATTATGTATGATATTTTACGGAACAAAGTAACAGTAGAAATAAATGTGCATTACATGACAACGGTTATATTATTTCTGATGTATAAGAAAGATCACAAGGATATTTGTTGTTGTCGTAAATGACGTAGGTCACAACAATAATTTGCATCAACCATCCTACACTACTACTAAATCCATACACAATTTTAACACCACAATATCTCTTCAATTTCATTCCTTGCCATTCACCATCAATATTATATTGACATTTTTCGAGATACTAAACCCTCATATAAAGGCATAATAAATGTTCTATTTGATTTTTTAGGATTTTGTTTTAGTTAAAATGAAATTCCGTGTCACAGTTTGAAATCTAATTTTTAAAATGTTTCAATTTAATAAAATTTCTTTTCTACAAATTCGTAGATTTATCTATTTACGTGTTCTATCATACAACCATTCTCATTTAATAGGATAGAATTTATAATACAATAAGTACTAACAATAATAATAACGAAGCCTAATCTCGTTTAACAACTACAAATTTCAGTACTCTAGGAAGAAACATTTGGTTTAGATCAAAAGTACTGTTCAATGAATAATAATAATGGATGTAAATTTGTAAACGATCCTTAAAGATTCCATGATTTTAATCATTAATTATCAACTTGCTCATTACTAAAAAGCATGTGAAGAATTTCTGTTATTGTTGATGGATTGTCCTAACCAAGTAGTCTTATTTATGAAACTGATTTATCTTGTTGCCTAATTAATATTATTTTCGTTAATATTAAGATGTGATAGTTTTTTTCTCACAAATTCGTATTGCGTGTAGAAAAGAGGTGGAAACTTTACGACTAAGACTATCCAGCTCAGAATTTGTAATACTATTGAAATTCGCCTTCTGCTCCATAAAGTTCTATCCGTATCAAAATCTTAGGAAAAATATATTTGATCATTATCGCATAGTTTATATGGACTCCAAAACAAGTTACACAAACTTATCTTTTTAAGTAAAAAGCACGGTCATCATTTTGATGAACAATCCTGTATAATCCCATACAACTTACGGTAGTCATGTTTGAACAATGCCACGGAAAGCTCAACATCACACATATTCTTTCCCCACTCCATTATCCTCAATCAAATGAATAGGTGGATATATTCGTAAAGTACTTCAAGGAGAAGGAATGGCTGAAAATATCACGATAACCAAGGTGAATCCAGTGACATTGAAGAGTCCAACTAGTAGAATATCTCGTGAATAGGAAACTACTAACAGATTTCGACGTTTTGCTTCCACCAAAATACCAACTTTTAATCGTTCAACTCACTGAATTCACACCTGCAGTCATGGTATATACCACACTACAACAGTGGATGTTATGCATTAGTTACTCAGGTATTTGGAAGTCTTTCTTATAAATATGTTCTTCTTTATTGGGTATAACTAAAATCCTATGAAGCTCACTATGTTTATGTACGTATAAAATGGAATATATTTCTTTATTAATATCTTTGGTTTTTTCTGTACAGATAAGCGTCGAACATATGTACTAGAGATTGATCAGTATCAAGCTGCAAAACGTTTAAACAACGCACGTCAACCAAGACCTCCAGAACCGGAACCTTCTGTAAGTTTAATTTTATTCAATGTTTCTTTTGTTCTAATGAAAGAATGTTTACAGTATAGATACGTATTCACTTGACCTTTATTTAACGTTAGCTAAACAAAATCTTCACTTGTTTAGTTTAATAGAAGGGAATATTTTACAAGGTTCACGCATTACTGTCGCTTATGATATAACAAACTCCCATGCCTATTTCTTTATATATATATATATATATATATATGATTACAACAGTGATTTTCATTTTTTCTCCGTCCTAGATCTCCGACATTAGTATTAGTATGCACTTAATTATAGCACCAAACATGACTGTTTACATGAATACATCATTTCAATGAGATTCTTTGTATATCAATCCACTGTGAGACAGTATTTAGTGGATTTAATATGAATATTTCAATCATACAATAATAAATCATTACATAATTTACCCAATTAATTTATTTGTGGGATGCAGTTGACAAGACGTACTAAGATGAGTGCTCAAAGAAACTGTTATGTTTTAAAATACTAGAAGATATCTATCTGCTTGCTTAGAAATGTTGGGTAAGGTGATCAGCTCTTGTCAGTTTCCAACTTCATGCCATCATATCAAACCCTAGATGACGGAATTAAATTGTTATATCTTCACATTGTTTACTTCACTATGAACAGTTACATGAATTAAATATAATCTTAAGTAAAATCTGACAAATCAAAAAAGGTTTTTGAAGTTTTTTTTGATAAAACTGTAAATATTAGCCAGTAACTGATTTTCTGCTTTACTTTTCTATAATTTTAGGGTCGTATGTTCAAATATTTCATAATTGGACTCCATGCTACAGTGTGCGCAATTGTTGCCGTTATCCTCGTTATAATCATAGCAGTTAATTAGTAGTTATTTTCCGTTTAGCTTTTACACTACTTAACTGTTTTATCAGTAGTCTAAGTAACTATTGTAAATGTGCCTTATATACAAATGTCTTATCCACAACTGGCTATATTTCTTTACACTATCATTATCGTTTACGTGTACTCCGTCTCTTTTTTTCGTTGAATCTTAATCAATTTTTTCGCGCGTGTATCCATGAATTCTCATTTTATCGCTGGATATATAATTAATGAGTACAATTTCAGCTTCCTTTATTCTGTAATGTGTAAAACGTCATCCAGTTCGTAAAAACACTTCACAAATTTTGAAAAAAAACGCGAAAATAATTTTATTCATAAATAATAACCTTAAATGACGCAATTTAGTTTATTTTATTGGAGTTCCTCCCGAAAACCCTTCTATTCATCTAACTATTGCTTATAACTTGTTTTAACTTCAATTGGTTTTTTGTGCCTTCTTGTTTCATGAATTAATGGGACAAAGAAGTGGTAAATGCGACTTACCTTTAAAGATTCTTCCGTGAAACAAAATATTTCTTGTCGACGAGTACACACAAACACGTTAGTGGTGACATATCACGTATATATATATATATATATATATATATATATATATATATATATATATATAACATTTATGCACCACACTAATATTTATAATGCTGCACCATTATTATTATTATTATTATTATTATTACTATTATTATTATTATTATTATTATTTACTATTGTTCTTAACATTAATAACGTTTTTATCTCTCCAATTTAATCAGTATTTACACAAATATTTATCAGTGCCGTCATGTATTATTATTGATAACAAATTCGGTTATATACATTGTCGAGATCCATAGCTTCTGTTTTTTATATTAAAAACTGTTCAATTACAAAAAACAACTTTCTTGATGCTTTCTCTTTCTTTCATTACATTACTTTGTGTCGTTGTTTATACCTCTTCAGTTCATTATATCAATTTCATTTTCCAGTTATTTAACCCTTACCAAAACAATTGTTTATTCTTGATATGCATATGCTCTCTTCTCTCCCCTTATATGCTACACCTTATTATTATTCTTCGAACACAATCGTGTTGTTGTCTTGACATTTAGGTTTATATACCGAATTTTTTAACTTATTTATCATTTTTTTCTCTACCTTTATTTTTTACACTTTGTGCGCCGGCTAATTTTGTCTTGTTTTTGCTTTTGGTTCAAATCCTTTTTAATTTAAACTGAATAAAATGAGCAAAGATGTTTATATATAATACATATATATATACAGTCAACTGTTGTTGTTTTTTTGTTTAGGTGTCGCTTTTAGAGAAAAGCGTTTTAAATGAAATAACTATTTTTCAATTCTATTACGAACAATCTGTTTATCAGTGTATTCCAATAGTGCCCGATAACAGAAACTGAGACTTATATGTTATATTTACGACTAATTGATCAGTTGTACTTACATCTCAGTGTTACTGTTTGCGTCGGTACTCCAACTTATTGTTCATTGCTTCAAGCACCACCAACTTGTCATCCACTGAGCTAATGTGTTCAGATATGTACTAACTTATTCAACAAATATGAATTTATTTTAAGGGTTTGTACTCTCGCGTTATTGATGTTAAGAACTGCAACTGGTTAGATTTTGCCAGATGGGGTTTCCATTACTACTTACAATTCAATAGAAACTGATCAATCACACCCGACAGTGTTACCATCAGGAGACTGCCTTCCCTTAAATATGAATAAGTTTATTATTTCATGTTTTCTTAGTCTCGTATATTGTCACACACTAACAGAAATAGTATGTAAAAATGAAAAGCAACTAGGAAGGATTTCAAACATTGAGTTTCTTGTATAATTTAAGATAGAACAAGTTCATCATCATCTAGAGGATAAGTGTTTTCTCATTCGACTTCAACGGTTTATATCAGCTCTAAAACAGAGAGCAGATACCAGGAGTGGTATGACTGGGAATAATAGTTTAGAAAACTTAAGTTGATAATTGTAATCAAATATTAAAATCTTCCTCTCCACCAAGGTTGTTTTTTAAGGCTTTAGACTGTGTTTCAGATAACAAGAAGCCTTTAAAGAAAATATGAAATCATCCTACTATGCAATCCAACTGGCCTTGTTCAAATATTGTAGAAAGATATATCGGAAACGGTCGACTAACATTTATCACAGGCTTATTGATGTCTGATTTCTAGGGTTCATTTGAGTTCTAGCGAGAAAATGTGACCAGTGGGTTTCAAACATGTTAACTGTGAGACAAATATTACTAACGAGAATTGATGATTGTCTCATAATATCGTGAGTTAATTGAAATCAGGAACGCAAACCAATTAATACAGACATCAGTATAAAGATTAGAAGCTCACCTTAATGCTTTAAAACCTTAGGTACGATACTGTGTATGTTTGTGAATCCTCAGTCCCGAGAAGTCATATATACGGTCCAGTACATCTTGATGTCAACTGTCTAACTAAAGTCAAGTGATTGTGCAAACAATAAATTAGTTTCTACTTCTGCTTAGATTTTCATTGATGATCAACTGAGTACTGGTTGAATATATGACTTTTAAATCAGTGTTGGGGTTATGTATTCAGTATAGGCTTGTAGAAAAAAGTTACAAGGTCAAACAGAGCGAAGCACATCAACTATCTTCTGTTGTGCTTCATGTTATTCAATGATATAGTTTTAAATAAGAAAGAAAGATTAGTTCAGCGAAGAGTTCTCTTTTCGGCGAATTCATTTTCAAAGCTGAACAATCGCAAATGTATATACTTATTTTTACAGGGTGATAATAATACTGATAATAAACTTCTGTTATACATGGTGACAGTGAGGTTAAATAAACAAAGGTATTAGAAAAAAATTCTTAAAACAAGGAAAGTTTGATAGTTAATGGCTTAAGTATTCATCGGGTAAGGATGGCTCAGCATGATAAAATAACATAAAATGTTGAAACAGAGATGAAATGTAATCGGAATGATCGCGGAAATAAAAACAAACCGGTTGGGGGGAGAAGATTTGAAGGGAAGATGGAAGGTGAAGCAGGTGGCTGTAAAAGAACAAGAGTATGAAGAAAGAGGTTCATTACTGGCAGATTGCTTCATGGCCTGTTTAGAAAACAACCAACTCCAAAGAATTATAGAAAACCTCCATTTGTATAAAAGGTATGTGGATGATATCTTTATCATTTGTGACAACAAATGCAACTTAAGTGATCTCCTAAAGACATTTAATAATTGTCACCCATCAATAAAATTCACACTTGAAGTTGAAAGAAAACATAATATTCACTTCCTTGATGTAGATATGATTAGAAAACAAGATGGTACTTTAAAAAGATCTATCTACAGGAAACCCATGTGGAATGGCCAACTATCAAATTTCCACAGTTGGGTTCCCATCAGCCGAAAAAGAAACTTAATAATAACTCTCGTCACAAGAATACGAAGAATCTGTAGCCCCGAGGTCGTAGAGGAAGAATTGAGCCTTTTAAAAGAGACACTTATCGAAAACGGATATCCTTCTATATTCATTGATAAGAACATGAAGCCGAAAATGCAAAAACCACAAACAATTACAGTAGAAAAAAATTTTTTATACATGAACATCGACTTCAAAGGTGATAGAGCCGCTTATATCTTAAAGAGGAGAACTTCGGATTCTTTAAAAAGAACATTCTTCGCAGCAACATTGCGAATATTATTTTCCAGCCGATCACTGTTCACCAATAATCTGAAAGATAAATTATCGCATCTGACCAACTCAATGTGCATCTACCAATTTACCTGCTCTTGTGGAGCTAGGTATATAGGTCGTTCGATGCGTACTTTATCCAAAAGAATTCAAGAACATTGTCCGGCGTGGCTAAGAAAAGGAGGCGACGGCTCAATAAGAAGTTCTATAATCAAACACCTTGTGAACACAGGTCACTCAATCAAGACAGACTCTGCATTCAAAGTCATCTACAAGGTAAGTAGAAGCCTTCCTAAGACAATTAGACTGCATCTTCTTTGCATTGCCGAAGCAATAGCCATACATTTTGAAAAACCAGAATTATGTGTACAAAAGAGACTGGTACAACCTCTTCTTTTACCATGGTCTTAATGTATTAAAAAATTTTTTCTCTTTCTTCATACTCTTGTTCTTTTACAGCCACCTGCTTCACCTTCCATCTTCCCTTCAAATCTTCTCCCCCCAACCGGTTTGTTTTTATTTCCGCGATCATTCCGATTACATTTCATCTCTGTTTCAACATTTTATGTTATTTTATCATGCTGAGCCATCCTTACCCGATGAATACTTAAGCCATTAACTATCAAACTTTCCTTGTTTTAAGAATTTTTTTCTAATACCTTTGTTTATTTAACCTCACTGTCACCATGTATAACAGAAGTTTATTATCAGTATTATTATCACCCTGTAAAAATAAGTATATACATTTGCGATTGTTCAGCTTTGAAAATGAATTCGCCGAAAAGAGAACTCTTCGCTGAACTAATCTTTCTTTCTTATTTAATGTCATAATGGATATAGTTTTACTCTTCGAAAACGAAAGGATTTTTGACAATTTCATTTGATTTAATAAGAGATGATATGTGAACGTGTAATAGAATCTATACTGTTTTCATTCATTAGTTTTCTCAGTCTTAAAGGAGCTAAATTATGCCATTCCGACACATATTATGTAAACACTTTTACCAAGACAGATGTTCATCGATGATACAATAGTGAAACGGATAATTTGACCAAAATTAAGAAAGACAAGACTGATTATATGTACATGTATTATGATACATGAGTGTGACCTCCTTTGTTCCAGTCAACAAAACAGTAAGGAGTTACATAAATCTGTATATCTGCTTTCATCCTTTACAAGTATAACGTTTGGGTATTTTTGATTGATGGAACAATAAATTTTTAGCTTGAATCCATTTACAGAAAAAGCATGTAAATATGTTTTACTAATGATACTATTTTAAGTAGTTTAAATATGCTAGATGACAACACAAGGAACTTATTTATCAAAGTAATTTGTTGCGATTTTTGCCCATTACTCTGAAAAGAAGCAGACACACACACACTGTATAAGAGATACGTTTTACCTATGAGTCCACTAATCTGGGCATACTAGATAGAGAGACAGAGTTGCTTCGATCCAGTGATAGGTTGCTAAGTACAGCCTCAAGATTAGTAACTTGTCAGTTCGATTTGTGACTGAACGGCCTTGGGAACAGGAAGAAATCCGTCCTACCACTGACCTATGACCTGATAAGTTGGCAAGAGGGAAGATAATTTAACTGAAACTATTATCCAATTTATTCCTGACTCAAACTAATTCAAAAAGACATCTGACTAACAAGGCCACAATGTGCAAAAGTGGGAAAAAATGCAGTCATATCCAAACTAGGATATCGAGGTAAAAAAGTATGTGATACAAAGGTTACGTTAAAATTACAGTAATTTTGAACTAAAAAAGAATATCATTGTCATCTTTACACTAAACGAGAATTTATGTACTACAAAAATAAAGCAGGCGTAAAACTAAATGTTAGTACTTTGCAGACTTCGAATGAGTCGAAACAATGTCCTGAAGAATAGATTTCGGTGACTATCATTACTACATTTTTATCTCTTCACATCAAAAATGAATATGTAATTCATTCTATTTCCAGATGCCTTAACATTTTCAGCTGAACTCGTAATTAAAAGTACTGTGTCTACTGATCTGACTAGTCTTAGAACTTCCATTAACCATTCGGCAACAATATCATATGAGAAGTAATTCATTTCCGTTATGGCATGGAGAGAAATAGCTTTACTATACACCTTTGAAATGACGCACAATCGTGAGATAGCAGTAAACGACGCCCTAGATGTTTGAAGTAATCATTGATGGCTATTGACGCATCTTCCACTACTTTTCAAGAATTTGGTCCACTTTTAGAAACTATGTTCTTATTTCTAGACAGACGAATTCATCTATCTCTTTTCAATTATGTTGCACACCTACTCATCGAAGAATCTTTAAAAGATATGGAACAAAGGCTTAATAGTCAAATATATCATTGCCATATGATTGGTTATTTTAAACCCCTAAAAGTAACTGAGATTTTACCTATGTACATATGTATGTAAATGTTTATACATGTTTGTTTGACTATCATTTTGCATTAGGTATAAATATTATAATTTTTATCCAAGAGAGTTTCTACATACATGTACTATGACTCATATATTTAAGTTTGACATCTATTCATACCAAACATTTGTTCTT